TTTTTTCGGTAAGTGATAAACTCTGAGCTTGTCGGCAGGTAGCGTATGAGAACTACCTCTAAATGACAAGTGCCATGCTTACCAAAGTACAGTAAGTGATAAACTCTAAAGCTGTTGGCAGGTAGCATATGAGAACTACCTCTAAACAACAACTGCTGTCCTGGGGCCTTCTTTCCCATGTCTTATAGTGTTGTTATAGTCGGTTATGCTTCTTCTCAGTCAAAAGATTTTTCAGAATTTTTAGTCCAGATGATCGTTAGAAAGAGTTTTTTGAATTTTATAAAATATAAAATGACTAAATTTATATTTTTAATACAAGTATTTAGTGAAAGTGTATATAATTTTTTTTTAACTTGAAGCATTTAACTAGCTTTATATAGTAATAAAGCTATTTTTTAAATAATTTTATTAAAAAAAATTAATTAAATAATTAATAATTAATATTTATATAAATAATCTTGTTAAACTATTTAAAAAAGAGCTCTATTACCATGTAGAGATAGTTGAAAGCTTAAAATTAAAAAAATTTATGTACTTTTGTTAGATACTTGTACTAAAAAATATAAATTTAGTTTGATAATTATTTTTATAATTATCTAATCTAAATCATCAAAAAAAATTGATTAATGAAATTTAACCATTAATAAATCCGAAATAAATAATCTTCAAATGTTATCCTAACTATGTTTGATTTTATTAGTTGAGGCGCAACTCTAATGCGCCGTATGCATTATGCAGGCGATGTTGCATGCTACATAATGCTACATAATGCGATGCAAGTTGTCTAAAATTTAAAAATGCGACATAGAAATTATTTATAATCACTTTATAGACACTTGTTCCTATCAAAATCAATAGCCTGTGAAATCCAATAAAAATTAATCTACCAGGTCTGTTTCCACTATATAAATCTAATGGTTTATGTTTTCGAATCCGATAACCTCTCAGTAATAATACAAAGTCTGTTCAGGTCCACAGTATATTATACAGAATTACATAATGCATCATGCGGCATAATGTGATGCAAAGCCACTTTCCATGTGTATTTTTTCTATGCAAAGAGATTGAGAATTCTAGATTTTTATTGAAATCGATAATTTAAAAAATTGATTTGATGTTTGCTACTAGTTTATGCATTATCTACAGAGATTGAGAATTTCAATTTTCTACACTGTGTACATAAAAGGTTTAAATCATTAGACCTTAGTCAAATCTATGTAACGCCTAGTGATTGGACCCGGGTAGGTGCCACCCGGCTCACCCGCAGGTGGGCGGGTAACCCAGGTGGAAACGGGTGAGTCACCCGACGGAGATAGATTAGTAGCGCAACCAAAATTCAACGGATCGACCGAATTTAGGGTCAGAATAGGCCGGAGCTTGGCCAGCATTAAGCAATAATACTGACTAACCAATTTTACTTAATGTATAGGCTGAGAATTTAGAAAAAATTTAACTATTCCGGCTTATTCCGGCCCAAAATTCGGGCCGATCTGCTGAATTTTGGTTGCGCTACTAATCTATTCCCCGATGGGTGACCCCATGAACAATAAATTGCAATTGCGAGTCTGCATTTGTATGTATATTAATTGCAAAAAAAAGATTTTAAATGTTACCATTTCACTGAGATACAACCCATCTTTTTTTATTCAAAAATCTACTATTGATAAAGGATCCTCAAGAATTACTTCTACATTTTTTACATATCAATGAATTCTTAGTAAATTTCTACCCGATCCAAAAAAAATTACTATTTTATTTTTGATGCTAGACTTTTAAAGCAAACTATATACCAAGGATATAACTATTATATACTTAGAAATATATTTGTATATACATAACGGGACATCTATTTTCATTCGGGTGACTCATGAGTCCACCCGACGGGTTGCTTTTTTAACCCACCCGGGGGTGCGCCATATACCATTAGCCGCAACAAATATATCATCATGCAGTTTGTTTACAGGTGAATGACAACAATCAGACGTCAGCAAGCAAGCAAAGTTTGCATCATAATGGAAAGATTATCAAGATTTAAGGGAAAGAGCAAACAGCATTCTTCGTTTTTGGTCGTAAATTTTTACATATACTCCAAGCAATCAAGCAATTTTATAAAAATATTTCATAAAACAATTAGTGGAAAATGTCTCGAACATATTTTCCGCCCACATTAAGTCCACTAGTTTATATAACAATATTCCATGTTCCCCTTTTCGCATTTATTTCCTTATCTTTCAAGCCCATAACTAGCAAACTTCACGCTTGCGTACTTTGTATTATAACCTTTGTTCAAGCACTGATTCCCTTCATATATCATGGAAGATATGAACCGCTAATGCATTTCATTATATCAGTGTTAGCGGTACTTTATACATTCAAGATGATAATATGGCTGAAAAAAAATTATCAATCTTCTATCGATTCAAAAATTAAAATTCCTTCATTCATCGGTTCACTATTCAATTGGCGTCCCGATGCAGTAACGATTCCTGACAAACAAAAATATCAAAAACACATTGATTTTATTGAAGTCACGGATCTTTATAAAGAGATGATTAATCACACAATTAAAGCTATCATAAAATTTGTGATTTTAGATCTTATAGGCGAATATTTAAGGAATAACAAATCAGAAATTCCAGAAAGATCATATGGATTACGAGTTTTAGATTATCTTAGGACTGGACATCCGTTTACTGATATATATACCTTCTTTCATTGCATTCTTCTCATAGCTATCTTAAATATATCATTTTCACTAGTGTGGAACATCGATTGTATAATCTATGGAATACTTTTAAAACCTTTATTTTTTTCTAACAGCGTTAATGAAAAAAGAAAACTAGAAGAATCAACATCTTTTAAAACAAAACTCAAAGAATGGTTAATTATCTCAATATTCTATACAAAGCCAATAATGGGTCAACCATATTTTTCAACAGGGCCTCGAGATCTATGGTCCAAACAATGGCATCAAGTCCTTAAACCAGCTTTTAAAGAGCTTGGCTACCTTCCAGTTCGAAATTATTTTAAACACAATAAAACTCTTGGACGAGTGCTTGGTACATTGTCTGCTTTTTTGATCAGCGGATTATTTCATGATTATATAGCAATAGTTGCTTTTAATCATTTTTCACTAGATTATGTAGCATTTTTTTTACTGCATGGAATACTTTTTATTTTATTGGAGACTGTTGAAAACATTATTGTGGGAAAAGAAAAGGATGCTAAAGATAATTTTGGAATCAAGGTTTTTAAGATGGCATTGTATTTACCGATTGCAATTTTTACTGTGCCATTGTTTGCGGAACCTTATGTTAAGGGAATAAATTTTTTTTCGAATCTAAATATATTAACGAATCTAGCAAAGTGGATTAATTAAAATAAATAGGCATTATCACTTCAAATTTGTATTCGTTATAAAAATAAAAAGATATCTCATATTCTTTAGTTATTATTATTATTTAGTTGCTTTAAAATTTCTGTAAAGTTTTTCTTTTCAATGAGATTAATTAAGACCGTTGGTAAATACATTATACTCTATATATCAGGAACGTAGTCATGTTTGCTTACCAGAGTGTACCAGGAACGTATGGTTTACAGCCATCTAGAATGGTGTAAACAAAATCTACATTCGATATTATATAACACATGAATGTGCATTTTCATGCATAAATTATAAGATCTCAAATATTTTTAAACTACGTTCCTGGTTTTAGCGCGAATATATGTTGCACAGCTACTTAATATGTAGTAACATTCAGCTGGTTATGACTGCCAAAATTTGTATATAGAACAAAATCTGGAAACGTAAAAGAGTGCTTGCTATAGTTATGCAGAATTTAGCTCCGATGGTTGGCGTCAGATTAAGCCGCATAAATTATAGAAAGAAACACATTCTGGCGGATTGGCAGAATTGGACCTTTATTTAGATACTTTGAATTTATTTACTTAATAACACTATTCATTTTATTAATCATAAATAAAAACAAGTCGTTCTCTGATATTTTACATAACTGATATCCGTATCAAATAAAAAAAATTGATTGATGTTTGCCCAGCCTGACAAGTAGGGATGGCAATGGTCTGCTAGCTGTTTTTGGCTGTTGACTGTATCTGTGATCCAATATAGATTACTATATTTTTGAAAAAATCAAATAGTTAATTCCGGCCAGAAATTATGTAACACACTAAGAACATATCATATATATGGATGGCAAGCGTTATTGTTTTAAAACAAATATCAAGAGATTAATCATCAAATGTTTCGATAATTACAAAACAATCGCGTATTTTTTGTGAGAATATGAGTTATCGTACCTATGAAATAAACATTATTGGTTGAAGTAAAAATCATCCAGTTAGATATAGTAGGTTTTAGTTTCAGTCATCAGTTTAAAACGTTTTTTTTAAAAAAATCATCTAAAACTTTTTTACCATCCCATACATTGAGACAATTTCAACATACGGAAATTTTCCGTTTTTTATATTGGCTGTAAAAAAAAAACATTAACGGAAAAAAGGGCATAATACATCACCCGGAAATTTTGTGCCCCGCCTGCATTACAGCGTTTTCATATTTTGGAACATTCGAAAAATTGATTACCAAATCGATAAAATTATATGGATTCGAGATTCCATTCGACTCCCATAATTTGCAGATCCGAATCCAAAGAGAGATTCGATTCAATTATTATTAACGAAATACACAAACGATCTTTTTTTTTGAAAAGCATGTTATTCAAAATACATCGAGCTAATAGTGCCAGATATCGAACTTAATTGAATGATTTTTACATAAATGAATGTGCAGCATATATTAATAGGATTGTGCGTGGGTTAAGAAGATTCAGGTGCGAATTTTGCTTCTTGTAGACTGTAGCACGTTTATTTCTTATCGGTATGCTTGTTTCTGAAATTCTGAAATGAGATTACGATTAGTACGTAATTAGATAAAGCTCAGTTAATTAAATATACTTACCGTATAATCGCGAAATAACGCTGGACGTTATTTTGAAAATCGGGTGCTTCAAAAATAACTTATATGGTCTCGAATTAGCGCTCATGAGCGTCTCGAATTAACGCGCATCCTAATGTAGCACATAATTTATAGTTACTATAAATGCATTTCACATGCACTTTCCCTATAATGTGGAGTGCTCATAATTTGATCAGTCTAATGTAATTTAATATTTTAATATTATATGTATATTTATTCTTGAAATGAGGTTATGATTGGTACATAATTAGATCAAGTTCCAAATTAAGCTCGAATTAGCGCTCATGCGCACTCAATAAATCCATTTCACATGCACTTTCCCTATAATGATAAGTGCTCATAATTTGATCGGCCTAAAGTAGATTATTCAAATGAATAAGTACGTAGCTACATTGTCGTGCTAAACCAGAATACAGTCAACTCCCGCTATAGTCACACTGTCTGGCAGAAACTTGATGTGACTATAGTGAGAGAAATATAATAATAGTCACATCAAGTGATTATAGCGAGAGTTAATTTTATATCATATACTTTAAATAATTGGTATAAAGTCTCAAGTAAATGTGACTATTTCGGGTGTGACTATTGCGGGAATTGACTGTATAAGCTTAATTTAGAAAATGTTGACCAACTCCAATACAGAATAGTTATATATAGTTTTGAATAAAATATCGCATACAGATAACGATAACTATTTTGATATGAGACACTACAATTTAAATAAACATAAGATTTTTAGATGTATATAGTGTAGAATGTAATATACCTCTTTAAAAAACATAACATACCAATCCACTATAATTTTCTAATGCTACGTAACCCTAATAATACATAACGCCAAATAGATATCTGATATTAAAAATAGGGGTATTTCACACCCCATAAGATCTGGTTATACTAATCCGCATAATTAGAAACATTTTTGGCAGATGATAATTATACGGATAAGAAGCTAAATGAGAGGTAAACAGCTCATATTAAATACTTAGATCAATTAAACCAACAAATAATCACTAAACTTAGAGACTAAGGGTGCTCTCAATGTGATGATTATTGAAGCGATCCTTACTGTAATTTTCTAAAGATTCATATCGCAAAATATGGATAATAAATTTTAGCCAATCAGAGCAAGTTTAAGGTGGTTTCAAACTTTTTTTTCATCGGGATAATGAACCTACTTACCGGTTAAACTTTCCACAATTTAGAAATTGAGCTTCGACCTATTAATTACGTGTTTGAGAGAATTTTAAATCAATACGAATAAAAATTTAAACGGGAAATTAATTAATATATTGATTGATGACGATAATATTCAATTGATTAAATAAGAAGAGTTTTGTAGACCAATTTCAGCCTATTAAAGATTTTTAGAGCTGTTAATGCTTTTATGGCTCCTTTAAATACCATATTGCTTTAAAATAATTATTACTGTAGCTACGTAATAATAATTTAATGCAGTACTGCATTACTACCACAGCTTGAGCTATTGTTCAAGTTATTGTCTAGCTATGACACAAGTTGTGGCTTCAATAACTACGGAGCTATGACTTTACCGATTCAATTGCAGCTAAAACCGGCCTCGGTACCTGGCAAAGTAGTCCAATGGCATGCTAAAAAATGCCGCCTCATAAATTAGTTACACAAAATAAGCAATATTATAATAATTGGTTGGTGTTAATAAGGCAGTATATATAATATATAAAATGTGTTATGTATTAGTGGCATACCAGAGCGACATCCTGGCATGAATTTAAACAAATGGCATGCCAAAATTTTTTAAGCATGCCAGTACTCTACGTTTAACAGCTCTAAAGACTATCTGAAGTCAGTTGAAAACAAATCCATATTTGGTTAGTTCAATTACGAAGGACAATAATAACGATAATAAAAAAAAAGCACATTTTTATAAATGATTGTTATTTCATTTATACGTTATCAGGCTTCAAATACTTTCACTTGGCGATTAGAATTAATGGTTGTATTCAAGGCTTAACCGGCTTGTCCCTGGCATATTCCTGCTTAGCCGTCTTTTCAATATGTTCTTCTTATCAGCCTGATTTTTATTTATCATATCTGCTGATTTACAAATTTTAGCTTGTTGGTAGTTAGGGTTAGGGGCACGGGGCTTGGGGGCATGCCTAGGGGCATGCCTTTTGACTAAAAGGCATGCCCCTATCATGTGATTTAATACTGCTATATGATTGGCTAATTTACGATTCTTGCATTTATCAAATTGAGTACTAATGATATTTTTAATACCATTGTACATATTTTTGAAAATAGGGTTAGGTTCTGAATAAAAAGTTAAGTTTTTTTTAGAGCGCTGAACATTTTTACTTAGCATTTCATAGCCATTCTTGAGAAACAGTATACCTGAAGAATTTCACTTCCGGTAAGTATTAAATCGTTCAAAAATAAAAAAAAGTTTACTAAAGCTTTTTTTTTATTATAATATTAGCATTTAACATTTATTGTATAGCTTTTTTTTAAGGCTAATTATTATCGTTAA